GGCCTTTAAGTGTCATACATGCTTTTAAAAAAAAAATCCAAGTGTTGAATTTGGAGGACTTCTAATATGCTATCGAACACTTTGCTTTTCCAAAGTTTTTTTTTTAATCTAGAAAGCATTTCCATCGCCATGAGGTACAGTGTTTCACTGTACTAGGAGGAAGGTTTAAGTGTTCAATTTCGACTTAGACGGAAAAACTAGTTTGCTTTGCTTACCATCTTTGCTGTTTCACAGGCATTTGATGCTTTAAATCTGATGTGGAATGCTGATAGATTCACTTTTTAGAAGTCATAAGCCTTTGAGAAGTTGGAGATAACTTCATTGCTTATCTATTTTCTCCTTTGCAATCAAGCTGTTCCTTAAAAGTGAGACACTACAGAGTTGCAAAAATTTGAAACAGTAAGAGCAAGCATCGTTTGCAGCTTCATGGTTGGTTTTGGCCAAACTTTTTATTTAGTATTCTGTAGTTGCTTAACACACACTTAAATGGTCTTATTGGGGGAGGGGGAAAGGGGAGGTTCTTGTAGATTCCCAAGGAAATGTCAGAAAGGCAATATGGCCAGCATTATCCACTTGTTTTGGGTTTACTGGGTGAATAGCACTTTCCTTACATAAGCATCTGATCTCAGGTTTTTCAGACTGAGAACATTGAGATTTCAGTTTGAAGACACCCTGAAATCCTAAGAGTAGCATAACCCGACCACCCTCTATATAGAGCTAGCTTGTTTATGTAGGCAGAAAGAGCCATCTCTCCATTTTAGATGGCTAGATGTCTGTGGAAGATCTTAAAATTGTTTGCCTTATTTACTGGGAAAAATCAGATAGGAAGTGGCCTTTAGGGAAACTTTTACTTGGAAAATTACAACACTACTACACAAGTAAAGTCTTAACACATTTAACATTTGCTTGTTGAAAGCAATGTCATAAAATCAAATAAGATTAAACATGTTTTACTTTTTTCCTCACAAGAACATAAAAATTATGGAAGGGGAACTTAACAGGAAATTTAAAAAAGGTAACACAATTTTTCCTTTTAGTAGTCCTTGGGTAGTTATGACAGAATAGGTTCCACTTTTTGTTTGTTTCTTTGAACAGGGATTTTGGTCCAAAGTTTTGTTTGTTTTTAATATCTGCTTCTGCCTCCCCCTCTATCAGATCGGCTTCCTCCACGGCCACCACCTCTTGGTGCTCCGCGGCTTGAACTGCTGTAGGAATCACGTGGAGGAGGGTACCCCCTTTCCATAGAAGGGGGAAGCCCTCTTTCTTGTCTGCCAACCCGATCACGACCACTTGAGTAGAGATCACTTCGGCTGCTTGAGTAACTGTCTCGACTTCCACCATATCCGTCACGTGAGCTGCTGTAATCATCATAGCGACTGCTTCCACCATATGATGGCGGGGGCCCTCGTGTAGGTGGAGCACTACGTGAGTTACCTGCAGGGTCAATGGTCAGGTAATATGGCAACACTATAAATTGTATATATACAACATTTAAATCTGAATTTACAGAATTCTTGTATTAAACGTTTACTTTCTCAACTGGGAGGTTTTAAACTCTGCCATTGCTGGCCATTACAGGGATTTGCTCATCTGCTGAGATACGGAAATGGATGGGTTTTAATGTTTGTTTGAAAAGACTGAAGACGGTGTGTATTTCAAGAGGATATTCCAGAGAGCTTGTTATTTTATAGTAGACACTCAGCCACTTTCCAGTGATAAGTTGCAATTTTGAACTGTAGACTTTCCTTCATATTGCAATGGTAAACATTTGATCTTGTTAATAAAATTTTTAAATTGTATTTTCACTGTTGGGGGAAAACACATAAGGCTGCCAATTTAAGCAAGCAAAATCCCCTCCAAAGCAAGCAAACAGCCTCAAAAAAAAAACTTAGAAAAAACAAAAGCCCCTCACAAAACTAGGAAAAGCCCAGCTGATAAAGTTACCCCCTTAAAAGCAAGCGAACATCCCTTTAAAAGCAAGCACCACACAGCCTAATAAACTGGCTCATGAACCTAAAAACTCAAGCTGGTGATATTCAAAGACCCTCAACCAATATCTTACCATAACTCTCATATGAATCTCTGTAGGAACCTCCACTTGGATGATCTGAATAGTCACGATCACGACCATAGCCATCTCTATCACTAAATTAAAGAGAGAAACATGTAATCCCCAAGGCATCAATTTTTACACTTATTTCACATCAAGGCGTGACAGTCAAGTCACCTACCTATAGCCTCTTGATGGATAGTCATCACGTGAACTGGAATGACCATAATCACGGTAAGTATAATCTCTTGGTGGTGGTGCATAATCTCTTGTATCACGAGAACTTGGGTAATCTCTGCTTGAATAGCTATGACAACAAAAGTAACAGTTCACGCTTTTGATGAGCTCTCCTTCAACAATTCATTGAGACAAAAGCTACTATACTTTTCTGTTACCTGTCTTTAGTAGAATATCCATCATCTCTTGGGGACAAATAAACATCTCTACGAGAGGGCAGGGGTTCCCTTCGGGGTGGGCCTCCATAACTATCTCTTCCACGCGACACAGGAGCTTAAAGAAAAATAATCACTTTTAAATATACCCCAAGAGAAAAAATGTGAACTTACATTCAGGCAATGAAAAGTAGTGATGTAACCTAATATGACAATATGGAGCTAAATCAAGACATCTTCTGTAAAATTTCCTATTTACACCTCAATTCTCCTCAGTGCTAATTAACTGCATGTACCTAGATCACCTGGAGTCCACGAGTCAGTTTTCTTTTCTTTTTGAGGAAGATTAGCCCTGAGCTAACATCTGATGCCCATCTTCCTCTTTTTGCTGAGGAAGACTGGCCCTGAGCAAACATCCATGCCCATCTTCCTCTACTTTATATGTGGGACACCTGCCACAGCATGGCTTGCCAAGCGGTGCCAGGTCTGCACCCGGGATCTGAACCAGCGAACCCCGGGGGCGCCAAAGCAGAACGTGTGAACTTGACCAAGGCGACACCAGGCTGGCCCTCATGAGTCAGTTTTAAGCATCATTTTTAGATTCACCTCTCAATCCTTTCCTGTGTTATGGTGGTAGAACATATTGTAATTAAGCTCACCTCTTCCTCCCATTCCACTGCTGCTGCGAACTGGTCCTGAAGGGGCAGATCTTTTAGGGGGAGGACCTCCACTTCGTGGTGGCGGTCCTCTTTTTACTGGAAGTGGTCCCCTGGAAGAACTCATGTTAAAATTCATGGAATAGCCACCATCATCTACATTAGGAGAAAAAAGAAAAACACGTGAATACTCACGAGAATCAAGAAAAAGCTGTAAATGTGTTCTTTGCTTGACCACGAATATGACCATCATTCATTTAGCTGGGAAATTTTGTTTTAGTTTTCACTTGTACAAGACAGATCATGAGACGTCTATACAGACTACGAAAATAAAAACTGGGGGTAGTCTTAAAAGTTACTTCAAAGAAAAAGTGCAAATTGTTTTATTTTCATATGCCCAACACCGATGCCTATCAAAACTTTCCTGCATTTGCTTTGCTCCTACAGAATGAACTACGTGGATGAGGACTAGTCTATTGTCCATCGTTTAAAAATGCAATTTAACTAAGGAAGCCTTCTGTTTTAAGTCATAATCACTTTGGTAGATAAGCAAGCGTTCTCAATTTCAAAAGCTAGAGCCTTTAAACAAGGACTTAACCAAAAGCACCCATTGGTGTGGGTCTGCAGTTCCTAACTTATACACCAAGCCTGAAGTAGACCCAAGTCATTACCCATGTGCCCTCCACGTGAGGGAGGTCCCCTGGTTCCTCCACTTCCTCCTCTTCCGCCTCTAAGGCCTCTCGGAGGGCCTCTGCTTCTTGGAGGTGGAGGTGGTCCACGTCTCCCACTTTCAAATGATGGTTTAGTGGCTTGCTCTACCTTGATGGCTTTTCCATCTAAGGACTAAATAATAGCAAAATGGTTAATTACATAGACTTTTAAAAAGAAGCTGGGCCAATAGCATGTCAGCAGATATGACGCAAGCAGATGATTTACATGTGCGCCTGTGATTTGACTTGTTCTCTTGTGCTCCTCTGATGTGACATGAGAAAAGCAAACTTCAGCTATCCCACTGCCCCTTCGGCTTGGGACCCAGAATAAAGACGCTGGACCAGAACTGAGCAGACCCATTAGACTGGAACCCTCCCAATCCCTGTTGAGTCCAACTTGGGTCAGCCAAACCACAGCCAATTTCCAGCACCATCAGTATGAAAATAAATGGTTAAGTCACAGGGAAAAAAAGAACTTGCAGATCCACTATGCACTGTGACACCGGTTACGTCCTTCAAAATGCAGATAAATTTTGCTCACCAATTAATCTAAGAAAATATGCTACAGATACAGCCAGAGATACTTGTCCATTGACTCAAAATGTTTACTCAGTCTTTAAGAATGACACTGATGATTTAAACCAAACCATAACTTGGATCCACTGCACTGCTCGTGAGTAAAATTTAAAACAAGGCCAGACAGTTAACAACTTCTTATAAAAACTAATAACCAAAATGCAAAGCTAAGTTATCTGATCAGTTTATGGATTCCAGATAAAACATTATCATATAATATTCTGAACTGAAAGACTTTAAGAGTATAATCGGTAACTTTGGCTATGAAATCTGATTCTGAAATTACAAAGGGCTATGATCAGAGGGTCCTGGAAAGGCGTGCACTCAAAAACAAAATTCCAGGGCTGCCCTAGACCACCCTTGGGTAACATACGGTGCTATTTTATGCACCAGGATCCATAGTATCAACTTGCGGACACTCTCACCTTTCCATTCATGTCTCTGGCCGCATCCTTAGCATCTGCTGGGCTTTCGAAGGTGACAAAAGCAAATCCTCTTGATTTGTTGGTTTCACGATCTTTCATCAACAGTACTAAAAAAAACAAAAGTAGTTTTCCGGGGGGAAAAAGTGTTACTCTAGTTCGAATGAAATAACACAAATGAATATGTAAAAAGAAAGCTCAGAACTTCTTAGAGGACAAAATATATTATCATTTTGGATAATCAATGCAATCAAATTCATCATAGCTTATCGTTTTAATTTTAACAGTCTTGAACGTAACTTTCAAATAACTCACCTTCCACTATCCGTCCATATTTGCCAAATACTGCTTCAAGGGCTTTCTCATTTGTTTCTGTGTTGAGGCCACCAATAAACAGCTTTCCTGGGCGATCTGCTTCAACCATTTTTCTTCCCTGGTGAGAATCTGGTAAAAAGAACAGTATTACCTCCCTGGAAAAAGTTCCTGAAGTTTATCGGACACATGTATTTATTGGGGCACATTTTTCTTTTACTAAAACCATTATTCCTTAATAACCAAAGACAGCAAAAGCAGTCTTTGCTAAGCCTCGGCAGGAAACCAATTTAAATAGTTTAGTAATAGGTCAGTTTACATTAACTGGTTAAAAGGGCCAACTTAATGCCTTTATCCTTGATCCATCCTAGCAGTTTTAATCAAGTAACGGCTATTCAACATTTGAAAAAGTGAATCTTAATTATAATCCTTGATTTCCTGCCTTTTCAAGATTTAATTAACACATCCTAACCAAATGGTTTAAAATAATTATCGATTCATTCAAGGTCACGGACCAGACGCAGGTCGTTAACGCCCAGCCCTCTTCCAAGAACTTGGTCTTTCCTCATTAGGACCCCCTAGTAAATATAAGCAGAAATGTAAAGTTTGAGCCAAGTTACGCCTCCCCTCGGTCGCCAAACCTATCCCGCCGAAAAGATTACTGATTGGGAAAAAAGTGTCAAATCATTTGATATGAAATAACGGAATGTGGAAGGGCACAGTGTAACAGCGCTCCAAGATTGCAGGAGAACCCAATTAAAGCCTGTCATTAAAAACCGCGTGGAAACACAAAATGGCGACACTTGGATTCCGCCCAGGACAAGAGACACCAGTCAAGGGAGTAACTGTGCCCAGCAGCGGCTGGGAACGTTCACAGGGCTCCCTCTGCACGGCCGCCAGCGACCGGGCCCCGCGGAGGACGCACGTGCCGGCGGCGGCCCAGCGCCATCCCGATGCAGCCACCGCGGTCTCGCCTCGTCCCGCTCCAGCCCCGACCTCCGCCACCACCCCCGCAGGCGACAGCCAAACTTGCTCGAGAGGCACACGACAAAACGCGCCGCCTACACGTCTTCCGTCCCCACTCTCCGCTTTATCTAAATAGGTCGGCACCTTTCGGCTCTTAAAATGGCGCCCGCCGCCCCCATCTCCAGGGAGATAATCCCAAGTTCGAAGGCGGCCGGAGCGCACGGAAAGCGGCGTCAGGACAAGGATGCACGTACCGGGGGGGAGGGCGACGCTTCCTGGCTCCTACGAGCTCGCCGACAGGGGCTTCCTAGCAGCTCAGCACGAGAGAGGGCTGCCGGCTCCGAAGACCGAAAGGGGAAGCCGCGAGCACTACTGCGCAACGAGGGCGAACAAAGGAGACAGCAAACTTTATACTGCCCGGGAACGAGGCTGAAGGACCCGGATGGAAACGGAGCTCAGAATTTGAAACGCAAAGGGAGGGGGAGCGGTTCCCAGCCTCCCCGTTGGCTGCCTCCTCTGTCGTTCACTCCTCGCTCCTCCCCTTTTCCCGGGCTCTCTGCGTTCTGGCCGGCGCCCGTTTCTAACCGTTTTCCCAGCCCCCACCCGTGTCCCACAAACCCGCGTTTTTGCTTTCCGCTAAGATGGTTCACGGGGTGCATTTAATAAAGAAATGAAATTTATCGCGTGTTCCAGTGGGCTGGGCACGGTGCTAAACTTTACACCCGATAACTCACTTAATTCTCATAAAGATGTGATGAGGGTACATGCTCCTATTTTGCCAATTTTGCAGAAACGGAAAACAAAGAAGTTTAGATAATAAAATATATTTTTTCAAATTATCTCTAACAACAATTTTTATTGAGTGAGGAAAATTCTGTTAAATGTCAGGTGGGAAAAAAACGTCCAAAACGGTAGACGGGTCTTCATATACAACAATTACTCAACACCTCTTAAATGGCAGGCTCTGGGCTTGGCCGTGAGGATACAACCCAGAACAAGCGAGACAAGGGCAAGGCGCCTCGTGGGTAAAGCTGCCAGATTTAGCAAATAAAAATACAGCACGCCCAGTTAAGTTTGAATTTCAGAAAACAAATAATTCTTTCTGTCCCAATATCATATGCAAAAAAACTTACTCGTTTATCTGAAATTCAAATCTAACCGGGCATTCTGTATTTTATCTGCCAATCCTAAATGGGAGGGAATACAAAAGTTTAAAAAATTCTAATTTTTTAAAAACTAAAGAAAAAATTAAATACAATTAACAAATTAAACAACTGCATGCTGTGATTAGTGCCAGGGAGGAAGGAAGCCAAGTGCTTTGATGGACAATATTTGGGAGCCCAAATCTGATTAAGACGTCACAGAAGGTCTATGTAAAGAGATGACTTTGGAGATCAGATCTGAAAGGAGAAAAGAAAGGAGCCATAGGAAAGCTAGGGGGAAAGCTTTTCAGGAAAAGAAGAGAGCACTAAGCACAAAATGGAGGGAAAAAGATCCAGGGTGACAGGAATTTAAGGGGCGTAAAATGAGGGAGCCAAGGTAGGCAGAAACTTCGAACCCATTAAAAGATTGCTGAGGGTTAAGTGTGGAAACCGGGACACCAATGGGACAGTGCAAACAGACCAAGAGAGAAGATAGCGACTTGAATTAGGGTTGTGGTAACGACCCAGGGATGAAGGAACTATTGCTAGGTATATATGGCAGGTAGAAAGGACAGAATTTGCTGATGAATCAGAGGGGAAAGGACTGGGGTGGAATTGAGGAAACAGGGAGTCATTATGGATGACTCTAAGTTTCTGACATTAGTAGGTTATGGCTATTTACCAAAATGCTTGCAGAGGAGCAAGTTTCAGATGTGGGGGCGGGGGAGGGGCGGGGGAGAAATCTGATGCTAAGGGCAGAGTTCAGGGCTAAATTGTTGCTTTAGAAATGGAAATAAAACCCATCAGAATGAATGAGACCACGGAAGAGACTCAAGTGGGAAAAGAAAAGGCCCAAGTCACACGGTATGAGCTATAAAAAGAAAAGTATGGAGACAAAATAACTAGAAGGAAATATGCTAAAATGTTACCACTTTATCTTGTGGGAGGTAGAATTTATGGACAATTGTCACTTTTCTGCCTCACAGTTACTCTGCCCATGGTGAATTATGGTATATGCCAGGCAGGTGGTAGTAAATGATGCTCAGGTCGTGGGTACAAGCCCCAAGAAGCTTTGGAACCAGCTCTGAATTATTAACATTAATGGAGAGAATAGTACTCAGTGAGACAAGAATATTTGTTTTTTATCCCCCAGCCAAATAATGACAGTACAGCAAAAGTCATGTCCACTTGCCTTCAGAATGTGGTGTGGAAATTATCAGCTCTGGCGGTAGCTGGGAATTGGACAGGTTGGCAAATCCACTTAAATGCCAGGCTCAGCAAGCAGCGTCCGCACCCCCAGGAAAAACTAGAGAAACCCCTCCCCCTGGGCCAGCAGGCACTGTCTTTCTCTGTCTCAGATCCAGACAGGAGGACTGCAGGACCTTCCCCTAGGCTCTGAGTCTAAGCCAGGCCTCCCCCAGTCTGGGGCAGAACAGGGCCGACTCTACAATAGATGTCCCTGTCCCCCTGGGTCTCAAGAAGGAAATGTGCACCTAGACAGGGGACACAGCACTTCCAAGGACCAGAAGAGAGAGGGAGGGGATAGGGGATGGCTTATTGAGGGAACTGTGGGAGAGGATCATGATGGCTATAGCATAGAGTCAGGACAGAGAGGACAAAGGAAGAAGCTGGAGAGGAAGGCAGAGGGCCTACTGGCTAGATCAGAGGGCAATGGAGAGAGGAGCTTTTTTTAAGAGGTGGAGCAAGGTAATCAGATTTCATCTTAAAGAGATCACTGTGGCTGCAGTTCCAAGACTGTGTTAGGGGAGGGAGGAGCAGGAAGCAGGGTACTGCTGACATAATCCCGGAGAGAGGGGACCGTGGGCAAACTGAGTGTGAGGGACTCTGGCTTACAGGCAGTCGGATAAGCAGGCCTCACACTGCCTAAAACTCATCTCTGAATCCCATCCCTCCTCCTCATGAGTCTTCTAGGTTTTTCCCTTTACTTCTTTCTCTCTGTTTACTGTTTTGGATTATCATTAAACATAGTTATATTTTCTCTTTAATATAATTTTTCCCTTGACCCATTGTTTCTCTCCAGATGCCATCTCAATGATTGCCTCATAGACTGAGTCAAGCAGTATTACCTCACCACTAGGTGTCTTTGGCATATAATCAGTGCTAAATACACGTTGGCTGAATTACTTGCAAGCTCTTTTTATCCTCCATGGTGCTTAGTATGAGATGGGCACATAGTAAGGATTTAGCGAATACTGGTGACCTTGTCTTAAATCCCAATTTATTTGCAAAGGGCTCACATTTTTTACTAAAACAAATGGACAACAAAGCAAAACAAAAACACTCCATAGTTTAAAAAGTTTCAGGGGCCGGCCCTGTGGCTGAGTGGTTAAGCTTGCGTGGTCTGCTGTGGCGGCCCAGGGTTTCACCGGTTTGGATCCTGGGCACAGACATGGCACCACTCATCAAGCCATGCTGAGGCGGCAACCCACATGCCACAACTAGAAGGACCCACAACTAAAAACATACAACTAGGTACCCGGGGGGCTTTGGGGAAAAAAAGGAAAAATAAAATCTTAATAAATAAATAAAAAGCTTTAACCTGTTAAATGATTAAGAAATAACCTTCAGTCATCAAACTAGGGGTCACTCCAAGATGAGTAAGTTGAAACTCTCTTGTCGGCCTTGCATTTTTACATGAAGGGCAAATGTAACATCACTCAGCATCCAGTTGTGCCTGTTTTCCAAACTACAGAAACATATCCTGACACGTGTTCTAAAAACGTTATCTGGTATGAAGCAAGAAGGAGGAAGGGAGGAAAGAATTTTATGTGATTAAAGATTAGGAGACTTTCCAAACCTCTTTAAGTAGCCACTGTCCAGAGATA